AAAATATATATACATGTATATATATATATCTTTATATCTATATATATAATATAAGTAAATATATATATATATATATATACGTAGAGATGTCTGCTTGTTATAAAACAGCGAAGGCTGCAGTCTCTCGTTTAATTAACAAGCGAAGAAGCAAAAGATATCCAAAGAAGTCGGAGACAGTTTCTTTTATATTAAAATGAAGGACAGCCGCTGCTGTAGATGATAAGAAGACAAAGACAAAGAGAGACTCTCTTAATAACAAACAAAACTTAAATAACAAAGGAGACAGTTTATTTCTCTTAAATAAAAAAGGAGGCAGCTTATTCTTTTTTATTTTTTTCTTTTTTCTACTGTCTGTCTCCTTCTGTCTCTCTCTCTGTCTCCTTCTGTCTCTCTCTCTGTCTCCTTCTGTCTCTCTCTCTCTGTCTCCTTCTGTCTCTCTCTGTCTCTCTCTGTCTCTGTCTCTCTTTCTCTGTCTCTCTCTCTATATATATATATATTTGTATATCTATATCTATATATCTTTATCTACATATCTATATCGTTATATACATATACACATATATGTATATATATGCATATATATACATATATATGTACATATATATACAAATATATATATATATATATATATATATGAGACAGAGGACGCTGTCTCCTCTTGCTTAAGGAGAGCGAAAGCCCTGCACTTCAACCGCACGAACAACAAAAACGTAAAAGTAAATAACAAACAATGAACACCCAAATGCAGCAAATTCTGCTGTTGCTGCAGTCTGCTGCTGCAGCAACTGCTGCTGCTGTTGCAGTCTGCCGATGCTGTATTCTGCTGCAGCAGCAACTGCTTCTGCTGCTTCTGCAGTCTGCTGCTGCAGCTTCTGCAATCTGCTGCTGCAGCAGCTGCTGCTGCTGCAGTGTGCTGCGGCACCTGCTGCTGCTGCAGTGTGCTGCAGCAGCAGCAGCCTCTCAGCAGCAGCTTCCCCGTCGTGATGGAGCACAAAGACGAACAATGAAGCTTGTGCTTCACCCCCCAACACCCCAACTCCGCAGCTAGCTGTAGCTAGTTGTAGCTAGCTGTAGCTAGCTGTAGCTAACTGTAACTCCTAACTAGATTAGATTAGCTGTTATATATGTTTGGGGGCTGAAGGAGAGGGTAGGCAGGGGCTGTCTTCTCTGCATTTCCGCTGCTTTAATTGCAGCCCTAGGAAACATTCAAATAATAAAAGACTATTTTGTAGAGTATTTTAAGCTCTGGAGCTGCGTATACACCCGAAAAGGGTTTAAATATTGAGGTGTATATGCAGCTCAGCGGTTGGGTTGGTGTGTCTGTGTATAAGAACGGAGAATCTGCGAAGTCTTTTAAATAAAAAGAATTAATATATTTAATTTATTTATTATTTTATTTAATTTTTATTATTATTCTCTTCATTCATACCCATCCAATCAACTCTGCTGCTTCGCTTGGGGCCCCCCAGCCCCACGCCTGCCCTGTCTGCAGCAAGCCGCAGCAGCAGCAGAGTCTGTTGCGGTTTCGGTCTCTTCTTTTCCTTTCTTTTGCTTTATCTAGAAGAAAGAGGTATATAAATCTTTTATTACAACAAATGCTTTGTGAAAACTAACGCAAAGAACCCCTTTAAAGCCCCTAAACCCTGCGCCCCAGGGTTTAGGGTTTAGGGTTTAGGGTTTAGGGTTTAGGCAAGCAGCAGCAGTGCTGCAGTCAGTTCGGCTTATTTCTGCATGATCAATGGTCTGTACAGCTGAGGGAAGAGATGGGGAGGGGGCCCCCCAAGGGGCCCAGGGGCCCCCTAGCGACGTGCTGCTGCAGCAACAAGCCTCTGCTGCTGCAGCACCTGCTGCAGCACCTGCTGCAGCACCTGCTGCAGCAGCAGTACCTGCAGCAGCAGCAGCAGCAACAGCAGCAGCACCTGTAAAAAGAGACGCCTCTAATGCGGAAGAGGTCGCACCCGCTGAGAAGAAGCAAAAGACATCAGAGGAGTCGCAGGCACCATCCCCTCCAGCAGCAGCAGCAGCAGCAGAGCAGCAACAGCAGCAGCAGCAGCAGCCCCCGCTGGCGGAGACCTTGAAGCCGCTCGGGTGCTTGCCGACCTCTGCTGCTGGGGGCCCCTCAGTCGTTGCTGCAGCAACAAGCCAGCAGCAGGAGCAGCAGCAGGAGCAGCAAACAGATAAAGCTGCATTACCCCCTGGAGTTGTGCAGTAAGCACCTGCCTGTACACCTCGAGAACCCTAGAGATTAGGGTTTAGGGTTTAGGGTTTAGGGTTTACGGGTAGGGTGTATAGTTTATTGTATGTTGAGGGTATCAATGAGACCGTTACATTTCCGGCTGTCTGGAGTGCGCATTAGGGTTTAGGGTTTAGGGTTTAGGGTTTAGGGTTTGCGTGCAGGCTGGGGCCCTTCGAGCGTAACGCGCATGCATCAGCAGCTGTGTCGCGGTCTGCTATACATGTAGAGTCTCTAACACCTCAAAATTTAGCAGCAGTGCTGGAGGAGAGAGAAGCAGCTAATCAGCAGACAGCAGCAGAACCTTACTCTGCTGCTGCTGCTGCTGCTGCTGATGCTGATGCTGCTGATGCGCCTGGGGATAGGCCGCCCGTCGCCCTAGACCCCCAGAGAGTTAAACAACGCAAAGAAGTATGCAAACCCTAAACCCTAAACCCTAAACCCTTAGCTTAGGCGAGTGTTTCTGCGGAGGACGAACCCCAGGTGCTTCCTTCTTGTGGCCGCTACACGCGACTTTAGATTTAGGGTTTAGGGTTTAGGGTTTAGGGTTTAGGGTTTGGGGTTTGTGTTCAGGAAGCACTTTTAGAAGCAGCAAATGCAGCAGCAGCAACCCCGACGCTTCCGAGCTGCAGCAGCTGGTTTAAAGAGAGAGAAATAAATGCACTAGAAAAAGACATACTCCCCTCGCTCTTCGCTGGTAAGAGCAGCAGCAGCAGCAGCAGCAGCAGCAGAAGCAGCAGCAGCAGCAGCAGCAGCAGCAGAAGCAGAAGCACCAGCAGCAGCAGCAGCAGAAGCAGAAGCAGAAGCACCAGCAGTAGCAGTAGTAGTAGTTGTTGTTGTTGGTGTTGTAGCAGCAGCAGCAAGGGTAGCATTAAACAGCAGCAGCAAGTAGCAGCGGGAGTGAAGGCAGCAACAGCAGCGGCAGCAGAAAAAGCAGCAGCAGCAGCAGCAATAGCAGCAGGATCAGCATGGGCAGAAAAAGCATCAGCATCAGCAGCAGCAGCAAAAGCAGCATGAGCAGCAACATGAAAAGCAACAGCAGCAGCACCAGCAGCAGCAGCAGCAGCAGCAGCAGCAGCTGGTTTATGCTGTTTTGTTTGTAATGCAGGGAGCTCAGTGCTGGAGTCAGAGAGAGAAGGGGTGTATATACACCTCAGACAGAGCATTATTAGCTGCTACAGACAAAACCCTCAACGCTTTCTCTCCTTCACAGAGTGCAGAAAAGCAATTGGTGAGAACCAGCAGCAGCAGCAGCAGCAGCTGCAACAGCAGCAACAACAGCAGCAGCAACAGAAGCAGCAGCAGCAGCAGCAGCAGCACAGCAACGAGCAGATATATATATGTGGCATTTAAAGCTGCATTTTTCCGGGCCTTGCTGCTGCTGCTGTTTCTGCTGCTGCTGCTGCTGTTTCTGCTGCTGCTGCTGCTGCTGCTGCTGATTGTTGCGCAGCGGGAGACGCTGCGTTGCTGCTGAGGGTTTACTGCTTTCTTGATTACTGGGGTTTAATTAACCTCCAGGCTGACCCGTCTACAATTCCTTCGTCTGTTCGCCGCAAGCGAGAATTCTTGCTAAAGGATATGCAGGTGAAAACCCTAAACCCTAAACCCTAAACCCTCGGGAGGTGCAGGTAGACAAACAGGCAGCCGCACACAGCACGGCTAGGGGCGTAGGGCTTGTTTACTTAGGGTTTAGGGTTTAGGGTTTAGGGTTTAGGGTTTGGGGCTTTGGGTGCACAGAGTTGGAGCAGGGCGTCGCTGTATGAGAAGCTGCAGCAGCACGGAGCAGCAGCAGCAACAGCAGCAGCAACAGCAGCAGAAACGAGTGCAGCGCCTCAGGGTCAGGGGCCGTGGCGTTGTGTCTCCTGCGGGAAGATCTGTCTCTATTCGTATTACATATTAAAACCAGGAGGAACAGCAGGTGAGGGTTTAGGGTTTAGGGTTTAGGGTTTAGGGTTTGGCGTTGGGAGGCAGCTAGCTAGCTGTCGAGAACTTTCCGGTGCCCTCGCTGTGCTGCGGCAGCATTTGCTGCTGCTGCTGCATTTGCTGCTGTTTCATTTGCTGCTGCTGCATTTGCTACTGCTGCTGATGCATTTGCTGCTGCTGCTGCTGCATTTGCTGTTGCTGCTGCTGCATTTGCTGCTGCTGCTGCTGCATTTGCTGCTGCTGCTGCTGCATTTGCTGCTGCTGCTGATGCATTTGCTGCTGCTGCTGCTGCATTTGCTGCTGCTGCTGCTGCTGCTGCTGCTGCAGGGGTTTCCTTGGGCGTCATTGACAGCTGCGTGTGGTGTCTCCGCTGCCACGCTGAGGCCCGCTACCCCCACGTCTTAACTGCACGAAACTTCGTTAAGGTAAACCCTAAACCCTAAACCCTAAACCCTAATAGCCTGAAGACGAAGGCCTTAAAGCCGTATTCATTAAACCCTAAACCCTAAACCCGATTTGAGGCGCCTGGACTGTGGAAGGCAGAGACGCAGGGCTGGCGATTCAACGTCTAGGGTTTAGGGTTTAGGGTTTAGGGTTTAGGGTTTTGGGGTGTACACGCAGGTGGATTTGCTTATTGCGGGCGCCACGGGGGACGGCAGCGACTGGCAGCTCGACGAAACAGAACGCCTCATCGGTATCCCTAAACCCTAAACCCTAAACCCTAAACCCTAAGCCCTAAGCCCTCGTGTCTAGCCCTAAGCCTTAAACTCTAAACCCTAAACCTTAATGGAAATCCCTCGTCTTTAACCCTAAACTCTAAACCCTAGTTGAAAGCCCTCATCATTCGCCACGCCGCCTAAACCCTAAACCCTAAACCCTACAGGGTTTGATGATTCGCTGGCAGCGTGAGGTTTAGGCCTTAGTGGGTAGGGTTTGCGTTAATAGAGGGTAAGGGTTTACTTGAAATCCGATAAAATAAGCATTTGCTGTTGCTGTTGCTGCTGCTGCTCTTGCTGCTGCTGCTGCCCCTGTTGCTGCTGCTGCTGTTGCTGCTCTTCTTGCTGCTGCTGCCGCCCCTGTTGCTGCTGCTGCTGCTGCTGTTCAGAGGCGATAGAGCTGCACAAGGACGACTGGAACGAAGTTGCTGCATATGTTGGAGGTGGGCGTACACCGCAGCAGTGCGTAGAGAGGTTTATTAAACTCCCAACGCAGGAACCCTTCTTAGAGGCGAGCAAACATGTCGTCAGGTAAACCCTAAACCCTAAACCCTAAACCCTAAACCCCAACAGCAGCAGCGACGCAGGGTTTAAGAAGGGTTCCTGTTTGTCTGGAGTGTCTTTATATGCCGCGCCGGATCTGTTGATCACTGTTGACTTTAGGGTTTAGGGTCTAGGGTTTTATGGTTCAGGGTTTAGGGTTTAGGGTTTAGGGTTTAGGGTTTGTTGGGGTGTACGTGCAGCGGAACGGAGCAAACTCCTTTTTCGAGTTTTGGGAACCCGCTGCTGTCTCTGCTGGCGTTTCTATCTTCGGTTGTTCATCCTGCTGTTGCTGCAGCAGCAGCAAGAGCAGCGCTGCACGAAGCAATTAATGTATCAGTCCCCAGTAAAGATTTGCTGCCGGAGAAGCAACGCAGCAGCAGCAGCAGCAGCAGCAGCAGCAGCGGCAGCGGCAGCGGAGGCGGAGGAGACGGCAGCGGCAAAGGGGCTTCAGATGCTGCAGCAGAAACAGCAGCAGCAGCAGCAACTGCAGCAACTGCAGCAAAGGCAGCAGGAGAGGGAGGAGCAAACGGGGTGAGCGTGAAGCAAGAGAAGAGTCCTGCTGCTGCTGCTGACGACAACAGCAGCAGCAGCAGCAGCAGCAGCAAGGAGCTGCTAGTTGGAGAAGAGGCGCTGCAGATAGCAGCAGCAACAGCACTAGCAGCAGGAGCAGCAAGTGCAGCAGAGCTGCAGCAAGTCGAGCAGCAAAACGTAGGCAGTCTGCTGCGCTCTCTAGCGGAGCTGCAGATGAAGAAAGTCTCATTAAAACTAAGGCGGCTGCAAACCCTCAGAGACACCGTAGAGAGAAGCAAGCAACAAATGGTGAGGGTTTAGGGTTTAGGGTTTAGGGTTTAGGGTTTATGGGGTTGGGTTTGAGGGGGTAAGAAACACTGAGGTTGGTTAGGGTTTAGGGTTTAGGTTTTGGGTTTAAGGGTATAAATGAATAGTTGTGAGGGTTTAGGGTTTAGGGTTTAGGGTTTTGGAGGGGGCTTCGAGGGTTTACGACACGACGCATATCGAGTCAAAGCCCAGCGCTGGGAGCTGCAAACGCGGGTTTAGGGTTTAGGGTTTAGGGTTTAGGGTTTGCGTTTCAGGAGACGCGTCTCTCTCAGCTATTTGCAGAGCACTCTGAGCTCCTGGCGGAGCTTGAGGGGACCAGGAGCCTAGGGCAGCCAGCAGGCATTCCTTAGCTGCTGCTGCTGCTGCTGCTGCTGCTGCTGCTGGAGCTGCTGCAGCAGCTGCTGCAGCCGCTGTTCCTGCTGCTACAGCAGCTAGTGTTGCTGCTGGCATTGCAGCATCTGCCGGTGCTGCAGCAGCTGCTGTTGCGGCTGCTGCTGCAGCTGCTGCTGTCGCTGTTGCTGCAGCAGCAGCTGCTTTTGCTGCTGGAGGTGCTGCTGCCGCATGCAGCACTGTGTAGATAGTGGGTTTCTTTGTTTTTCTTTCTTTCTTCTCTGCTACATTATATATGTATATATATCTATATATACATATATTTATTTATTTAAAGGTTTATTTAAATTAAACAGTTGCCGCCAAACATAGCAGCAAAAAAGACCTCACAAAACTAGCAGCAGCAACTGCAGCAGCAACTGAAAGAGCAGCAGCAGCTGCTGCTGCACTTCCAGCGGAATAAATTGTAGCTCTAGCAGCAGCTGCAGCAAGTGTAGCTCTAGCAGCAGCTGCAGAAAGTGTAGCTCTAGCAAAAGCAGCAGCTGCAGCAAGTGTAGCTCTAGCAGCAGCTGCAGCAGCAGCAAGTGTAGCTCTAGCAGCAGCAGCAGCAGCAGCACCAAGTGTAGCCTAGCAGCAGCAGCAGCTGTAGACCTAGCAGCAGCTGCAGCAGCAGCAGCTGTAGACCTAGCAGCAGCAGCAAATGTAGCTCTGGCAGCAGCAGAAACGGTAGGTCTAGTAACAGCTTCAGCAGCAGCAACTGTAACACTAGCAGCAGCTGCAGCAGCAGCAACTGTAGCTCTCGCAGCAGCAGCAACGGTAGGTCTAGTAGCAGCTGCAGCAGCAGCAACTGTAGCTCTAGCAGCAGACTCTGCTGCAGTTGCTCTTGCTGCTGCAGCAGCCTCGTCTAGAACGACAGCAAGCTAAACAAATGAAAGGGTTTGGATGGGGCTGCGGCACTCTAAACCCTAGACCCTAAACCCTTGTGCAAGCTTGGCGAGGGTTTAGACCGCCTGCAGTGGTACATGGCTCTTTGGGTGGTAGACATGGGGGTTTAGGGTTTAGGGTTTAGGGTTTAGGGTTAGGGTTTGGGGTCCACACACTGTTTGTTGTTTAGGGTTTAGGGTGTGCGTACACCCTAAACCCTCGAACTATCGCAGTGTTTATAATCTGCTGTAATTAGAAGGCGAAAGAGCAACTTAAGTGTTCAGGATTTAGGGTTTACGGTTTAGGGTTTAGGGTTTAGGGTTTAGGCCGGCGATCGATGCTGGGGCGTGGGCTGCGCATACACCCGAGATGCAGGTTATTGTAAACCCTTAAAAGAAAAGCGGAGTGTTTTTGTATGTTTCTTTCACACAAACCCTAAACCCTAAACCCTAAACCCTAATTCTTCTTCGTTGCCGCTGCAGCTTACCTGGGGTCGTCGGGAGAGGGCTGGGGTTCCGAGGCCGTCCAGTCAAACCCTAAACCCTAAACCCTAAACCCTAAACCCTAAACCCCAAACCCTAAACCCTAAACCCTAAACCCTTAATTAATTGCATGCTGATTACTCTTGCAGGAAGCGCTTTAGCGGGGTACTCTCTTTGGAGGGACCGACAGAGGGCCCCCGGGGAGGGTGCAGCAGCAGCAGCAGCAGCAACAGCAGCAGCAGCAACAGCAGCAGCAGAAACAGCAGCAGCTGCTGCGCGCTGTGATACGGCAGAAGCAACAGCAGCAACTGCAGCAACTGCAGCAACTGCAGCAGCAGCAGAAGCAGCAGCAGCAGCAGCAAAGCAACAACCCCCCGACAGAAACCAGAAGCAGGGGAGCCCCTTCAAGGCTGCAGCAGCATCGAGCGCAGCCTCTACTGCAGCAAACCGGCAGAAGCAGCAGCGACAGCAGCAGCAACGGCAGCAGCAGCAGCAGCAGCAACAGCAACAGCAGCAGCAGAGACGAAAACCATACTCAAGGGCCCGCCCGCATTCGCCTCGCCAGCTATTTGCTGCGCGCGCTCTGCACCATCCTCTCTCTGCTGCTTCAAACCAGCAGCAGCAGCAGCAGCAACGGCTGCAGCAGGAAGAGCAGCAGCAGCAGCAGCAGCAGCAGCAGCAGCAGACGCTCACAGAGGCTGCGAGACAGCGGCAGCTACAGTTTTGCGCCTTCCTCTTCAGTACAGCTTCCCCCAGAAACAGGCAGCAGCAGCAGCCGCAGCAGCAGCAGCAGCAGCAGCAACAGCAGCAGCAG